GTTGCATAATTGTGGAGAAGACCCACTGAGAGGTGGCGTGGGTGGGGTCTGGTGGGGGTTCGGGTAGGTCGGTAGGTCGCTCCTGAGCTGCAGGATTACACTTGTTATGCAAAGCAATGCAGCTGGCAAATGCGTGCAGATCGACTATGTGCAAAACAATGCGAAATGGCTGCGACTGCAACTGAATCTCAACGAGCACGCAGGCGGCAACAGAGAAAGAGAGGGAAGAGAGAGAGAGAGAGAGAGAGACGAAAACCATGTGCCTGCGAGTGGGCCTGCTGCATGTTTATGATTTTGACTACAAAACGGCAACGAATCCAACGAGCATCAAGGTGAAATGGCAACGCAAGTGTTGTGTGCGGGTGTGGGTGTGTGCCTGGCACTGGCCCTGCCATGTGACAAACAATTTGCCTGCGCCCAATCGTACCCCTCTGCCGCCGCCAAGCGCCTGTCCCTTGCGGCCTGCCAGCCACGTCAACGCGGCCATGTGTCTGTGCCTATACGTGTGTGAGTGAGTGTGGGTGCCCATCCCTCACTATCTCTCTCTCTCGCACTTAGTATCCGTGTCGCCTGTCACATTTTTACGCTTCTGCACTGCACATCCACACTGCTTGCACTGCTTGTCCTGCACTGCCTGACACACTGCATAAATACATACGAGAATGAATGTAACGGGAAAAAGTTGGACTAAACGAATATTTTACACCTACCACGGACTACTCACAGCTCTGACTGTTTGGGGGAAGCTTATTTTATCAGGGAGCCGGTAGCTGAGCATCGAAATGTTCGATCAGTCGAAGATTCGATGCCTGCAAAGTTGCTCTCTCGCTGCCCATTCGCTGCTGAAAGTTAGTCCCCCGATGCCGTATTGCAGGGTATCTGTCATCACACACACTTTTTTGTGTGCATACATTGAAATTTTGAGTGCTGCTTGCGACATGTTCTTGGACTGTTGTTGTTTCCATTGCCAGTTGCCATTGCCGTTGCCGTTTGCCGTTGCATTCTTTTTCCCCAGCTTGAATTGTTGACAGGCGTTAAAATTGGACACACACACAGACACACAGACATAGTGGCATATGTGTGGTGCATCCGTATGGCTGTGTGTGTTTACATTGTTTGAATTGCCCGTCGAGGTTAAGCTGTAACATTTAAAGTGTTGTCGGTTCCGTTTGCCGTTTGCCGTTTGCCATTGCAGGCAGCTTGTTGTACTGCCTGCCCGGCTCCCCTCGCAGATGCTGCTGCTGCTGCTGCTGCCCAGTAAATCCTGCTGCTGTTGCCGTTGTTGCCGCCTGCCTGTTGGTGTTTAGCTCAAGTGCACTTTGGGTGTTTCTTTGCCCCCCCCCCCCCCCTTTTCAGCCCCTTAAGTTGACGTTCCTGTTGTTGTTGCTGCCATCCGTGGACATGGGCAGACTTCTATTGCCCTCAAGCCGGCGCCGCGACTTTGCTTTGAATAATACGAGCATGTATTTCTCTTCCTCCCTCTTCACGGAGCGTATGTACGGGTATATTCCCCAATCAAGGCATTACATGTTCAGGTCCATTGGAGGGAACACTTTAGAGGGGGATGGGAGAGGTATGTACCCCGCCATCCACCAGGATACATTTGCACGCTGACTGTCGCTTGGCCTAAACTGTCATGGGTCAAGTGGTTGCTGCCAGTGGTACAGCAACAGCAACAGCCGCAGACACAGCCACAGCCACAGCCACAGCCCGAGTTCCTCCTGCGGCGACAACGCAACCTCCTTGGGCCCCCCTCCCACCCGACACCGCCCTGTGGCCTGACATCATTGTTGGGCCAGTCCGTTTTCATTGTCTAAGCATTTAGGAACTCGGCCCCTTTTCGCCTTTGTGGCTTATTAGACATTGTGGCCCACACCCGCCCGCCTTTAACAACCTGCCACAAAGGATCACAGGCACAAAGGATATGCACAGCTATCTATGCATAGTTACATACATCTAGATATGTACCTACATACATACAGTACGTACGGTATGTCTGTGTAGTTGTAGGCGTGCGCCATTAGCCATAATGCATACTCCATTATGCCGGTTCTTTGTTTCAGCTCTTTGCTCCTTCTCCTTCGGCACTTTTTACTGCTTTTGATGTGTGCAATGTCCTACAGAGAAAGAGAGAGAGAGAGAGAGAGAGAGAGAGAGCAGGCATGATTGGACAGGCGTCTCTCATGCAACTTGTTGTTTCGGCTACAATGGAGCTCCCCTCCCCTGTCTGCCCTGTCCGTCACTTTCAGCGTCAACAGTCAAATTTAATGACAACTTGAGAGGGTACACTTCAGCCCTTGGTAGAGAGTTGGCCGAAGCCAAAGCGAGAGGGTGAGGGCCAGAGAAATGCTTTGACCTGGCCTCATGAATGTTTCAGCCTGCAGTCATGTGTTCTTTGCCACTGTCCTGCCTCCCGTCCTCCTGCTCTTCCCTTCTCTGCTCTTCTTGCGTGTATTGAAATTCCTGTTGCAATTTCAGTTATCCCCAGATCATATATGAATATTTTACGCCTTTCCCCTCTCAATGGCATTCCAACTGCAAGCAGCATGCTCCCCGTGTGTCTGTGTGTTGTGTTCCATCGACTGTCCTTCCCAAACTGTAGCTGCAATAATTGGGTATTGGATTTCAACACATAGCAGTGGCATGAAACAATCAGGAAATATAAGAGCCTGAGCCATGGCCGGAGCCAGACTTAAATTTTTGATTAGACGAGAGTGTTCGAGTTTGTTGGTGAGACACTCACGAGCAGACTCTTCTACTCTTCCGAGTGCTGAAAAATACAAATTAAATCCATAAATCCCCATCTTCGTTCTTTGGTAATAGCCGCAGCTTTCGCTTGTCGTTAAATGGAATATGCAAACATTTATTATTAATCGGTTTTTAGTTGAGCTTCGCCTTGAAATGTTTCTCATTATCAAGAGAAAGTTTTTTCCAGCACAGAGTACGGGAGGGTGCAACCTTTTTCAGGCGCACAAATTGTAATTTCTTAATTCGCCTGCTGCGAATTGAAGGTTTTATCTTTATTTTTTGCTGTATCCCTGCATTGTGTGTGGGATGTGTCCATTCCGTTCCTTTCCCCCTTTTCAGGGTTCCCTTCCTTTTCCCCTTCCTGGGGCCGCATTGTTGTGCATTGGAGCACAGCTGGTCGGCCATTAAATCAACAATGGCTGCCTGTACACGTGTTCCTCCATCTCTCTCTCTCTCTCACTCTCTGAGTGTGTGTGTTTGTGTGGGTTGGTATGTTTAGCTGTATTAGATTCTCTTTTGTATGATTTTTCATTTGAGTTAAGACCCACACACCAGTCTCCTCCATTCGGCCGTAGCCGTGTCCGGGCATACATATCTGTGCGTGCTGCAAGTGAAATTCCCTGCTTATTGTTATTGCCCCGGGGGAACACGAAGCGATTGTGCAGAGGAAATGAGGAAAAAGGGCACGCAGGACACGCAGCAATCGAGAGTTGTTGATTGTTGCATATAACTCACGGCTGGAAAGTTCAAAGGGTCAGAGAGCAGCCCATAGCCAATGACCAGAGGAGCAGAGATGCAGACTTGATGCTGAACAAATTGAGTTCGCTGGAATAGATTTTGTGTCTAAGAATCTTCATGTGTATGTACATAAATACATACACATATGTACTGTAAATTAATGTGCACATTTCATTGCCTTGGAACGTTTGGAATTACTTAAATGAATTTCTTTGCATATTTATGAAGGTAGATATGTGATATTGTTAGTGTCTAAAAGCGTTAACGTATCGAAAGGCAAGCCTTCAATGCTGAGAAGCATAAGATTGTAAATATACGTACATATGTACATACATACATACATATTTACATACATAATATGGAAGTAAATTGCGTAATCCGGCTAATGCCAAGCCTGCTCGCAGCATCCTATAGTTCATATTTTGCATACATATGCACGACTACAGAAGGATGCATCAGACTTCTGGGATTACAAAATTCCCACTATGCCCAGTTGTGCTCATAAATATTCATGCCACAGCGAGGTAACCGTTTAAATCGAAAATTGTTTTAAGCTTCTCGCGCTGCTGTTTGCCGTTGCTCCTCGTCATCCTGCTGCCTACTGGCTGCCACTGTAGCTGTTTGGTGTCTCTCAATATTGATAGTAAATGGCCGTAAAGTATTTTACGAAAATTCTTCAATGGCTCCGCCTTTGGCAATCCATCTCCTGCACTACACACCACATACTGCCCATGCCCATGCCATCGTATGGCTGCTGTTTTGTTGTTTTTTTTTGGCCTTTTTGGCTTGAGTCTTATGCAAGGATGTGTAAAATTCCAACGAAGTGCGGTCATTTTAATAACGAAAAACATCAGCACAGCTCTTTATGCACTGCACTCATTGCTCCTCTTGTTGTTCCTTTTCGTTGTTCTGTTCTCTGTTCTCTGTTCGCTGTTCGCTGTTCCCGGCTTTAGCTTCTATTTGCCATTGTTGTTGCTTTCTCCTCTCCCTCCCTCACTCTCGCTTTGTTGTTGCACTTTATGACTTTCGCTGTTGTTGTTAGTCGTCGTGCAAAAGTTTTTCAATATACCAGAGCACTTTTTGTTTTTGCTGCTGCTGCCTTTTGTTTTGCTCATACTGTGCGGTGTGGGTCCTAGTGCCTGGGGAACTCACCACCGCCCGCCTCCCTCATGTCTGTGTGTGTGTGTGTGTGTGTGTGTGTGTGCATATCACAGTTGGATGGTTTAATTTTAAAATCACACAAAAACAGTTAATTGTGGACGTGGTGGATGGAGTGACCACGAGAATCCGACACGAAATTGTAAAAAGTAAATGCGAAAATTCGACAGAAATTAAAGCAAATATTGTAATTATTTCGTTAACAATATTACACACACACACATGAATAATATATAAGGATATGCCAGAGCACAGAGACCACGGATCATCACGGATTTCAATAGAAAATGCTCCCTAGAAAGTCTTTTCATTTATAACTCAATCAAATTGTTTTCTTTTTCTCTTCATTCTTCCAGGGTCAGTGCTCGGCTGGCACACTGCCCATGGCCTGGGTCGATGAGGGACCCGGGCCGCCAACGTGTACGCGTTCCTGCGCCGAACAGCAGCAGCCATCACCACAGAAACGGACAGCAGTGGACAGCTCCATGTCGAAGAGGAGCGTCAGCAGTAACAATAAATCCAAGTATTTCGTAAACTATAAGACATCCCAGATGCGCTTGGGCCACAGCAATCGAGTCATGTCACGTGTGCGCAGGGAGCGGGAACGCAGCGAAGGGGGCGATCCGCCGGTCACGGACCAGCCCACTACCACAGAGGCTGACCAGGAGCAGGACCCGGAGCAGGGGCAGGAACTGGAGCTGGGGGAGAGTGCGACTGCATCCTCCACCATGGCCAGTCCCAGCAGCGAGGACGTGGAAGTGGATGCGGCGGCGGAGGCAGCGCCAACGTTGTCCTACAGCCATCTGCATGCCCTGCCGCAGATTCACCTCGACACAGCGAACCAGCAGCGGCCACAGCCGGAGCAGGGGCAGGCTGCCGGGCAAGAGGTGGAGGAACAACAGTGCCTTGATTATCTGGGCGATGCCGCCGAATGGAGTCCGCAGCATTTGTGCGGCCTGGACTCGCCCGCGGAGCTACTGAAGCGTCTGCGGACGCTGCGCCTCCGGAACTGCTGCGAGCGGAGCGTGTTCAGCGCTCTGCACACACTGGCCCTCAACGCCACCCTCTCGGATCGGGGCGAGTGCGTGCGCATCCTCAGCGATCTGCTGGAAGTGGACGCCCTGGCCAATCGCATCACCTGCGAGCTGGCCGAGATCCTCTTCCGCTTCGACTGTCGGCAGGTCTACTCGCTGATCAACCAGTGCGACGACTGCAAGGTGAGTTTTGTTCCCCTTTTTTTCTAATTAAATGGTGGCTGTTGACCTCTCGAATAATAACTTTAACCACTCCTCCCCACCGCAAAAGTCATTACAGGTTCGGGCCGGGTAACATTTCCACACTGCGTGACATTTTTGGTTGCTCATTAATTATTAAAGTTGAGCCACAAGCCAGCAAGGGGAAGAACCGCCTTAAGCAGTAATCTGCACTGAGAGAATATACCTTAGAGTGTGCTACCCTTTTAAAGTGTTTCCTTTTGGCTATGTAGTACGAGCCTTTGCTCTTACTTTGAGTGCAACTATTTGAAAGAGAAGGAAAATCATGCTCAGCAAAATGTTGCCCCATTTAGTGACTTGTCTTTCGCTCAGTGTCAGTCCAGTGGCTCATTGGGAGCTCATTCTGCTGTGGCCCATAACCAGTTTCGCATTTCAGACGCGTAATTATGAGGAAAGCGGGAAGAGGGCAGAGCAGTGCCAGCTACCGCAGGCGACAGAGTGTGCGTGTAGTCCACATTGCGGTTAATTTGTGGCACTCAAGTCTGGCTGCAGCTGTTGCAAACGACAGCGAGAGCTGCAGAGCGGGAGAGGGGAGAGTGAAGGGTGGGGATATGGGGATATGGGCCAGAGCAATTTTGGTTGCATATTTGATGTCTGTTTCATATAATTGGTAATTATTTGTCAAGTGCTCGCCAAAGATTCCCTTGCCTTAACCTGAAAACGTGCCAAAACGGTACGAAAAAGAGGATTGCCGGTTGCGGGTTGCGGGTTGCGGGTGCGAGAGTGTTGGCCTGGCCAAAAACAATGACTACGCTAATGAGGGTCTCTACTGTGCACGCAAAGTAAAAACCTTTTGAATACTGCAAAATCTCAGAGAGCAGGACGCAAAGGAGGTGACGCAGAAAAAAAACAGAAATGTGAATTGCGCTGATTAACAAAACTTGAGGCAAATGCTAAGCAGACGGCAACAGCAGCGACAACGTTTCAGGCCAAAAATACACATGATGAGGGGGGGGGGGGCGGTGGGGGGTGGAAGAGTGGGTGGGCAATGGGTAGTTGTACGGACTGTGGGTGGCTGGGTTGGTTGGGTTGCAGCTGTCGGGAGAAGCAGACATATGTACACACACAAATTTAAATTTAAATTACGCATACGCCTGGTGGCACACATTTAATGCGCTGTGCAGCCACGAAAGCAACAACAAAAGCGAAGGGTAGGGCTTTAAACTATCGTACAGACGGGGGGCAAACGCAGAGAGCGAAAGAGAGAGCAGTCTTAACAGTTCGAAATATTTATCCGGCGCTCTCTCTCTCTCTGCCTGGAAATCTCAATTGGAACCCAGCTAAAAGCAGAGAGAGCAAGAGGGAGAAAGAGAGCCACAGATGGAGCAGATTTTCCAGCAAGAGCGGCTCTCTCTCTCTCTCTCTCTTTATCTTAGTGTCAGCTGTCAGCACAGCCTGCTCTCTCGCATTGACACGAGTGAAGGCTTTTGGAGATTCTGCAAAACTTTTCCGCAGTTTATATAAGTTTCGTGAAAGTGTGTACTGATTCCTTTTCATTTGCAACCCAGAAAAAAAAACATCCAACAACACTTGCTCCTGCTTATGCAACAATTACAGCATTTTATTCAATAAGGGAGCAAACCATAAAACGAATTTAATGATATTTATTTGATGGGTTTGTAATTGGGGGAACGAATTCACGTGCCGAAAAGTTTAATTCTGTTTTCCAGCCTCAATTTGTTTCAAAATATTTCAACTGCGCGTGCTGCTCTCATCCGTCCACACTCTCTCTAGCTCTCTTTCTCTCTCTCTCTCTCTCTCCCTCTCTTTTTCTCTGGTCATTCAGCAAGAGGATTCTGAAAAGTGGCAGCCTCGGGCCGCAAAACAGATTCCAGCTTGCTCCTTCGGCCAGAAACACGTTTTCGCACATGGCAAACAGACCAGACCATGCTCAGGGAATCAGGGCTCGAATCAGTTGACGATCAAGTTTTAGTTGATTTAAATTAATTAGGTTGACTTCTCATCAGCCTTGGGCCTTTAAGACTGCACATAAATGCCCGTAGATATTTACGTATTTATACGATTTTGACTGATGTAACCACAACTTTGTCTAATTAGTCGCTAAAAAGGAAAGCCATTGTGGCAAACCGCAAAGGGAATCCTTCTATTCCGGATGGTCCACGAACCGTACGTTACCTCAAGGCCACATTCGGTTTGCTTTGCGGTCAGGAAAATCATTTTATGTGGGGGCTCACCCCGAATTAAGGCACTCCAGCACTCCAGCACTCCAGCAACCCAAGGCCCTTTTGATGGTCCCATAAATGCGGTCTTTCGATTATCTGAGACATATTCAAGTAAATTTCAATCATTTTCATTGCACCACACTGAATGGCAAAAAGGGTTCTCTGCTTCTCTGAGTGATTCATTTCCGAATTTGGCTTCTTGTGGGTGGATTCTGTTTAAGCTTAACAGAGTCATTTGCAATGCAATTCTGTTGAAGGACTTAGAAGTGCGAAAGTGAGAAATGGAAGGTAACCCCCAGGGAGCGCATAAATTAAGCAGCAAAAATATTTATAGAATAAAGAAAACCCCCTACGATTGTATTCTCAGTGAATAATAGTTGAATAAACTCGAAAATAGGGTTAATCTTAGTTGTTACAGTCAGCATAAATGTGACTGTCCTATCTACCACCCATTAAATATCAATTTGTGAATCTTTAAACTTCAGTTCCTGTTCGTTTATACACCTCCTCCTGCTGCTTCTGCTTCTGCTCCTCCTCCTGTATATTGTTGTATGTAGCGCAGTATTAGTACGTTTTTCTTTCTGTTGAAACACACTTTATTTGTGGGCCATAATCTATTCCCATCGAAGATTTCGATTTGATGTGGAGGCTTTTTTGTGTTCCTTCTCCCCTGCCTGCCTCGGCCAGTCTTCAGCTTTGACGGCGTGTGTGTTTCATTTACTTCACCCACAACCACACAACCACACACCCACTCAGTGCTTTAGTGTCTGTAAATTTGCATTTTACATACACACACACACACACACACACATCACACACATCACATAACCTTACGTCATCGGGGGAGTGAGTGGGAGTGTGTGGCGAGCGTTTGTCGTTGAAAGAAAATTGTCAAAAGCGGAAGTAGCGTAATTTCATAAATGATTGATTACACAGACTTTACACGCATTCCCACTTATGTGTGTATATGTACAACACCCTCACAACACACACGCACACACACTTCAACACTCACCGTTCTCCTCTCTCCTCTCTCCTCTCTCCGCTCGCTTATATTTGCTTAGGTGTTTGGGCCATAAACGCTTTGCTGCCGCTGCTGTTGCCGACTGGCGACAGCTGACAACACCCGTGCCACATTACACCACACTGCGCCGTTTTGTTAGCTCCACTTTCCGCACTCTGCATGTCCTTGTTCCTTCTCTTCCTGCCACCCATTCACATTCTGCGGCTGGACACATGTGCGAGAACGACAGCCAGAAACAACAGAAAAAAACACACAGCAAAAAAAAGCGACGAGCAAAACTTTCCGGTGTTCCAATAATCTTTTTTGTTTCGCCCTCTTTTTTCCCCTTTTTTTTTTTGGTTAGCTCAACTTTGGCGCTGGTTTCCACCTTTTTTTTTGCATTGCCTTTTCCCTTTTCCCTTTTTTTTCGGTCGCTTCTCATTTGGTTTTGCTTTTGTATTTTCAATCTAATAATTTATCGACTTTTGTGTGGGTGCTGGCTGGCTGAATCCTTCAGATAATCCGCAGAAAGGTGGAAGCATCTGGCGACAGATTCCAGATTGATGGAATCTTCTTAGGTTCAAGGAGGATTAAAGATGGGTTGACTCCGCCTCCCCTTCCCTTCCCCACGTACATACATACAATAAAGAAATAGATGGGGATTGTGGTTCATGTCGCGAGCATTCTAGGCTGAATTTATAAACCAAGAAACGAAGCTTTAGGGAATATTGAGATGTAGTTTGATTCATTCACGATAGTTGAGCTGGTAAGATCCCAGAGTATTACAACGACGCACAGATGATGAAATTTGCAATCTATTTGTTTTGGAAAGGAAACTATCGATTCCTAATTGAATCGTTTTCCCGGCACAGACATCATCTGGGTCTGGCTTGGGGTCTTGGCTTGGGTTCTCCCTTCAAAGTTTCAGCTCTCCCCCACCAATCAAAATTGCGTATCCGCAGCGAGGGCGCTTTGTGAAAGTTCCTGTTAAGGCCCACAAAATGGATGGCGAAATGCAGCGCTAAATTGGCCAATTGGTACAAGAAGAAGAGGAGAAGTACTCCAAGCACTAGGCAGAGGGGGAGCAAGAGCAAGAAGTGGTAGACGAGGCGCTAATGTGACCAACAGAAAGAACAAGAAGCAGCAGCAGCAGCAGCAGCAGATGGCCAAGTAAGTAGCAGGAGCAAACGATTAATCAATAAAACGAAGCCTGATGAGCTAGACGCACAGACAGTCGGTCGAACCAACAGTAGTAGACTGAGAGAGAGAGAGAGAGAGAGAGAGAGAGAGAGTGCAAAAGGGTAGCGGGGAGACAGCAGCGGCTCCTTCTCCTCCTTTGACTGACAATTCTTTGACCAAACAGACAGAGAGAGAGAAGAAGCGTCTCGCTGCTGACACAATATGAAAAATGTTTTTTTCCCCTCATTTGAGGGATTTGGAGTGGTGTCGGGAAGGGGGATATATACGTATATAGAGGGTTGGGTAGAGGGGAGAGAGAGAGAGCCGCTAGCTAGCTAGCTAGCATGTTCGTAATCCACAATCGACAAAGATAAATCGCTTTTAGTGTGCTTCAAAGCATTTATTTAAATTTAAGCTCTGGCTCCGTAGCTCTCTCTTCGTCTCTCTCGCTCTCTCTCTCACCCTGCTCTTTGTCTCTGTGTGTCTCTCTTTTCCTTTGTGTGGTGTGGCAAAAGTAAGAATCGAACCCAAAACGAGACAAAAGGCAAAGGCAAAATGAATTATCTGCTGCTGCATGG